TGGGCCGACTTTGAAGATGAACACGGAACGAGGAAGGCTCTGAGCCCTGACATGGAAGCCACTCCAGAAAACCCTGGTCTACAACCTCCAGTGGCAAGAACCCCCTTGTTCCTTGCAATCCCTGTCACTTAGAGCCAAGCCATGGAGCTGCCCCCAGGACCTGGCGGTGAGCGGCGCCGTACTTCGCAGGCTTGCTAGGGGCCTTTCGCAAAGCCATGTGAGGGTACAATGTTCTCATCGCGAGCTCCAACTTGCGGTCCGTGCAGTCCTGCTGTGGGCTTCGCCGTTCATACCTCTATAAAATTTATCGAAACTATCGAGTGATACGACGGGCTCTGAAGAGACGGCAGTCGCCCTTTGAGCTGAGCCTGTCACCACCATGCAACTCGCCATCTCCAAAACTTGTATAGAATTCCTGAATCGCTCGCCCTCACGGTTCCCCTTGTTTGTGGAGCCTTCGTGAAGCCCTGGCTGCCCGGCCCCATCAAAACGAACCCTTCAACCTGATCCTGTCTGCACAAGTTTGGCACCTGGCAGGCAAATTGATGCAGAAGCGTAGGTCACAGGGTTGGCCCTTAGCTGGATCTGCCATGCAGAAGGCACCGATGTGACTACTTTCTCAAAGAGCATAGTCAGAGTCCATGCACTCGCTTGGATGCACCAGCATCCATCTCTTTGAGGCATGCACCCACGCTGTGACGGTGCTGCAGGCTCCACTGCTGCCTGACTGCTGAAAGAGGGTGATCTTCTAATGGGCTCCTTCACCAAAAGCTACCGGCTGCTCATACGAACGCGGGCAAGATTCGCAAGATTGCTTTCTCAGCAATCCTTCGTTCATGCTCTGATCGCCGGTGACCGCTGCAGCGCCAAACCAGAGGCTTCTGTCTTTACCTGACTTTACTTTGACTGGACCCTCACAGGCATAACCGGAGCCGCGACAACACCCAGAACTGGTCCTGTACCGGTCATTGCACAATGCCGGCATGGTCAGCAGGCCAGATAGTCTGGGCCTTCTGAGCCGTAGAGGAACAGCGCAGCTCAGTCATAATTTGCCATGCAACCGCTGGAAGATAAGGATCACGACGGCGGCTGGCGGCATGCCACCAGTGCAACGCTTGTCGGGTATGCAACTGGATTGAGTTCAACGACACAACCTGCTTGACCTGAACCCTAAAGGCAAGCCTTGACAATTCACCGAAGCGACAACGTGTTAAGAGCTTCTCTTGCATGTGATGAAAGGCACCGAAAACAGCCTGGCCCGTAACGACCCCCGCCTAGCACGGAGAGCCAGGCAAGGGCGGAAGCACAAGGCCAGAATCAGTCTTCTCTGTGGACGCCGCCACACAACATGCCCATAAGTGTCAAGCTCACAGCAAGGATGTCTGTTGCGCAGTCATGCGGCTTTGAAGAGCGACAAGGCTCTAGGACTCTAGGTGGCACCGCAAGCAAGTGTCGGGTGCAAGGATCGCCACATGTCCAATTTTGACTGGCATCCCAGTGGATACTGCGAAAGTAGCAACCAGATCAACATGGTCAACAGCGAGATTGATGACACGGCCAACAAAGTCATGGTGCAACACACTTCAGAGTTTGGCCCGCCCTTCATGAAGCACGCGTCACGCCCAGTTCTCAGCCTCGTGGCGCAGCAGAACTGGGTGTGGTACCACCACCAGCAAGCACCTTAGCCCATCGTCTTGCTGTCATTCACCTGGTGCCATAGGCGTGTTGGCCTCAATGGTGGTAGGCACGAGATGTTTTAACACACCTCGCTACTGCCTCGCATGCTTCGCCCCACACGTGGCCAGCGGTGTGCAAGGAGGTCGCTGACCGTAGGTGGCATCGCAACACTCCTCTGGGTAAGGCGAGCTCTAATAGATGCGTCACACATGTGATCGCGGCCTCCCGCTCTGCAGGATCGGGCCTCCATAGCCCTTTCGAGAGACAGCCCTGCACAGCCGTGCAGTGCTCGTTCCAACAACCCCGATGCTTGAATAGGCGCATCACAGCATCAGGAAATCTGGGCCAGCGTCGCATGAACAGCTATCCGTGGGCCACACGAGATTCTTTCGCGAGCGCTGAGCTTGATGAAACACCGAGGAGCGTGCGCAGTTGACAATGTCCACCTCAGAGGCACCAACACTGGGGCTATGCTGAGCTGAGATGACTGCGCCTCAACACCTTCCTTTGACAAGGAGAAAGCCTGCAGGCGCTTGTTGGACGCCCGTGTGAGAAAACCAAAGAGGCCTGCTTCTGGGGACAACCTCATCTCATGAATCTCATGAAGATACCCCCATCAAGCTTCTGTCAACAGCCGGATCATGGGCCAAGTGTATGTCGGGCTGGAGACCATAGTTTGCCACTTTGGTCAAAGATCGAAACCTGGCCAACAGTACAAATAAACTCGCCAGGCCACGGCCATGTGGTCATCCTCTGGGAAGTAGCCGCCACAAGCTGGAATGGCCTGCCACACGAAGAGCGGTCTTGCTTACTGAAGCCAGTTCAACTCTGCCACGGCGTGATCTCGTCCATCATCTTTGGTCGCAAAGTCTGCTTTTCCTATCGAATCCTTTCTCCTCACCCCTCTGATCTGCTCTCCCTCTGTTTCAAGAGAAAGTTTTCTGCAACCAAATCGTCTGACGCGTCCCCTCCCCTGACATGGGAACACGGAAAGCTCGAGTAGCTCGGCTTCAGGGTTTGTCGGGCTTGCGGTCAGAAGAGGTTTTGCGAACAAGTCCATGGGTCCATGAAAACCGTACTCCAGCTCAGGAAAAAGCCTCGCTCAGCCTCAGCCGCTTGAGTCTCGGAGCAAGCGCCTTCATGAAAGGACTTGGGGCAGAACGCAGCGACATCTCAAATGGGATCTTTACCTCTTGAAGCCCCCCTTGGCTTCAGCATGGGGGATTCATGTTGCCGGTTGCAGGAAGAAGGAATTCAACTACGTTTCTGAGGCTTCCTGCAGGACCAACCCGTGTTTGGCCAAGGTCGGGATTGCAATTGGGGCAACCCGTCATGCCCGGAATCAAAGGCCAGAAGCCCCTCGGCTGGAAACACTGAACTAGCCTGGTTACCACACATAAAAAGCGCCGACTTCCGCCACAACCTGCCTCGCGCTCGAGATCGTCGAGGTAGTCCTGATGCGGGGCTGGTGAAGAAAATGCATAGCACGCAGGGCAGGGGCTTTGGGAACAACCCCAGGGTTGAGCTTGGCGCTCCCGTCAACAGCTTATCCAGCAGCGACGTTTTCGCAGTTCCACAACAGTTTCCCAGACAACAACACAGAAACGCCAACACACAGAGAAGTGTGGAAGTCAACGATTAATCCCAAGAGGTCACCTTCCCTGCCACTCTGGGTAACATGAACAGGGCGCTGGTTCTGCTGGAAGCAAGCCAAAACATGTCCTGCCACATCGATACTTCGTTTTCTGCACGTTCGGGGAAGTCCAGGGCCTAGGGGCCTCAACGGACAAGCCTGCTCGCTCATGGCCCGGTCGCAGGGCTCGTGTCGGAGCAAGGACTCCACGGTGCGCTGGGCCTCGAATTCAGCGGTTCTCAGGGGCTTTGCAGTAGCGGCAGCTTGGGGTAAGGGAACCACTTTTATCACAATCGCACAGAGGACGGCGGAGGCAAGGATACGGCAGCTCTCTGCTCCTACAGTGTCTTGCCGGCTGAAGTCTACGGGATTTTTGTTGTGCTCAATTATCCGAGTCCTTTCCTGGTGACAGCCCAGCGGCATGCGGAGGCGGCGACGTCGAGGAGTCGGAGCTCGCGCCTGCAAAGCGCGCCGAACTCTCTGGACCCGGGCCGCGCCTTTTGCCTTGTGTGCTCTGTTTGTTTTTGCCAAAAAAAAAACGCAGGACTTGGCACTCGCGGGGTCACCGCTCCCAACAACACCTGCAGAGAAGAGTTCTGCTCGAATTCTGGTCGTAGCACAATGAAGACTTGCCGTGAGGCATCAGGCCCTGGGCTCCATCTCTTAATCCTCTGGAACCAGCCCGGTCCTTGACGAGCTTCAGAGAGGAACGGCAGCGTCTGCAACGATTGAGTATATAGGTGGGGAAAGCTCGACTTATCCGTGTCTGCTGCGGAATTCGAGGCTCGCTACAAGATGTTTGTATCGCTCTTGCGGGTGGTCTGAAGGTGCTGACGGTATTGGTAAGGGGGGGAGGTCTACGGACTCACGAACACACATCACTCTCAATACTCTGATCTATGCAACCTCCCAAGAGATATCAACTCTCAACGGCAACACACCAGAACCGATGAGTGGTTTGTGAGGGAAAGTGAAGGATGCGGTAGACGCGCTGTCTCAGAAACCGCGCGACAATCAGACTCCGTTGGTGGGGTTCATCCCAGCAGAACGTGACACGACGGAGTCCGCCCGCCAAACTGAAGCTCAGCTAAGCCCCCAAATCCCCCAAAAACGTCAGGGCAGGCAAGGGCCAGGCCATCTCGAGGAGCTCCAGAGCCCGGGCGCTCGTGGGGCTTGCGATGTCTCTCGTGGGCTGCTTCTTTGACTTGAGGGGTTCTGCGCGTGCTGGAGACATCTGCGCGGTAGATGGGGGTTGGCAGGCCTTCGATCATTGCCATGTCTCGTGGAATCGTTGGCATGTCTCTGCTTGTGTCTCGGTAAATGAATGCGTGGTTACCAAAGCTGGAACCAACAGCAGCAGCCCGTCTCACTTGCAGGTCAAGTCTCGCGCCTGTTTAGCGGGTTTAATCAAGTCTCATCTCACGCCACTCTGTGGACCCGTGAAGGTCTGCCGAAAGACAAAGCTTTGCATGAGCTGTCGGCTGTGCCATGCGTGCCCGCATGTCTTATTGCCCGCACGCAGCTGCGGGAAAGTCTTCTCTGCCACTCCAGGGTGAGGAGTCCTACATGTGCCTGAATGGAATCTCCAAGTAGAATTCGAAGGATACATTGCCCCTAGTTGCTTTGAAGGAATACCTCATGAAAGATCTCCGTGAAATTTGTAGGTGCAATGCTGCAGGCCGCATCAGTTTCAGTCTTCAGACTGCAGGACGCGCAGGGCCTTTCCAAGCAAGACCAGCAGCAACAGCTCTGGCACCATCCCTGCACACTATTCCCCTACATGATCGATCTGACATCGTAAGGAAGGGGGGCTCCCCACCAACAGTGCCACTGCCACCCACGACATGCAGCAAACGCAGGTCAAGCGAGAGTGAGGAAACTCTCGCCGGCCTCCTTGAGTGATGCGAGCTGCTCCTCGCGCTTCGCCTTGCGCTCCTCGAAGCTGAGGCCCTTCACCTGAGGAAAAAGGCTTTCACGCCTCCCGCCCCCGAAGCTCCGAACACGTAAACGGATGAAGTATGCACCGGAAAAGCAGGGGACGTGTCATGTGCAGCAGCTTGGACCCCATGCGGAGCACGATGTCGCGAGCTCCTCCAAGTAGGTGCTCAGCGCCTGTCGGGAGCTGTTTTGCATCCGCTTCAAGCATATGACTTGGCTCCGACGCCTTGCACACAGTCTTACCAACCATCCAACTGGTCCACCCCCCCTCACCACCCACAACACCCCCACTTCCCGCCCCACACACACACACACAAACACACACACACACACACAACACTTGCTCTGCTCAGGACATGCTCAGCTCCATGCGCTGCCACTTAATTTAATGCTGCTTGTCGGTGCAATGGGAAAGGCAGGCACCGCTGCAGCCCCTCGTATTATTCCCGAAGAAACGCCGCGATTAGCTACAGTAGCACTTAGAACACATAAAAGTACTACTACAAGTACTTGGACTGCCTGCAAGCTCCGAGGCGGGCTGCGACTCTGCCGGCCTTGATCTCCTTCTGATAGCTGGCCAGGTCTTCGTGTGCCCTCACGAGCTCCGACTCAAGCTTCGTGATGGTCTGCTTCTTGTACTCTGTGTCCTGAGGGGAGCAGAACGCTTCTGTTGGGAGAAGGCTCGGGGATTCGGACAAAAGCAACACATACTGCGAACCACTGAACCTCTTCCATCAAGACCGTCCCCAAACCCCGACGTCGACTGTGCTGAGCCCAGCAATGCCCAGCAGGCTGGCAGACGGCTTAACCATGTCTCTTGTCCTTGACGAAGGTCGCCAGTCGAACCTCCGTAGTAGTCTTGAGCTCCTGTGAGAGTTTGCAAGGGCCTTGAGCAGTATCTTCAAGCTACGGCTGAGGACCTCGGACCGTGCAGTCCTGGAAGTCCGCCTTGGCTTCCTTCTCTCCCTTCGACGTCTCCTATCGGCACAGCGGCGCAGCGCTGCCCCCCGAAACCTTTCCGACCTCCCAACCTAGACCCCAAATCCCAAAGTCGCTCTGAACTCGTGCCCCTGTGAGAGAATCTCGATGCCTGGCTGCTGGCTCCCGCAAGATTCTGGGCAAAAACCGTGGAGACGATGACCTACTGCCTCGACCTTCATCCCCACAGGCCCCAACTTCCAGAAACCCCCTTGGCCTCCGCCAGGTCTGCGAAGTTTTCCAAGGACACCTGCAAGAGGCCGACGACCCCGGAGCCTGCAAAGAGACAAGGGACGAATGAGCTTTGAATGCCAGGTTTCAGGGCTTTGAGGATTTCAGGGTTGTGAAGCTTGGGGCCTTTTGTTCTTGAGGGCCTTGTTCCTAAGCGGCTTGGGGTGGAGGCACTTCGGGTTTGTGACACCTTTGACCCCAACTTTCCTTGGTGGGGCTCGTGCCTGCTTTTAAGCTTGAGCCGATAAGTCCAAGAACGACGAGAAGAGTGGTCTGCCTGCCGTCTTCTCCGGCATCCCTACGATGCACTTTGAGAGTTCAAACAAAAACTGAGCTTCATTCAGCCACGGCCTCCCAATTAGTCCGTTCAGGCGACTTTGCAGGATAAGAAGCGACTGCTCCGAAACCCGGGTAGCAGAGGGCCTGTGGCTTTGGCCTTGTAGCCGCTTTTGTCGGCCTTGACCTTAAGTCAGACTGGGAGTTCAGACGGGCATGCTGGCCCAGCTGCCGAAACTGATTGGGACCAGAGTTCGAACTTCCCGAACCAGTGAGGATGAAGGCTCAAGTCAAGCTTCCTCAACACGGCTGCAGAGGCCGGAAGCCATCCTTCACCGAGCCATGGAAGCCATACTGTACCTAGCCCCTCCTCCACAGACTTTCACAATCTGAGGCCCCTTCTTTGCAAAACAGAGCCGGGGACAACCCGGGACGGGATACCGCTAGTGCTCTAGTGAGTCACTGGATTCTCCATGCTCGCCGAGCTGCGGCCGTGTCCCCATAGACGCGCTGAAGCACAAGGATGGCCTCCCTCAGGACCCGCTGATCCTCATCGGATGCTATTTGGCCCTGTTGAAGTCCGTGAGCAAACTGGCGGGTGGTGGGGGTACTGGTGGTGGTGGTGGAGGCAGCGGCAGGAGGCGCATTACTCGTCTAGCGACAGCAGCATCGCATGGTTCCCACACCGCTACCGGTCTGAAGCTGGTAACCTAACTTGTTGAAGCACACGAGGTGTTGATTATCTGCACACAGCAAGCAGCAAGAGCAGTTTCCGCTTGAGGGCCCACATGTAGCAGACAGAGAGAGAGAGAGAGAGAGAAAGTGGCATCGAATAATTAGCCTTGGCTCGGTGCTTAAGTTGCGAGCTTGAACTGAATGTTCTGCGGTCTGAACGGCATTACACAAAAACCCGGTTCAGCCTCTTCGTACATGACGACGTCGGCTTTCGCCTGCTGTCCGAAACGGGGCGATGATCCGCTCCCCTCGCGTTCTCAGCTTGGCCTTGGCGCTTTCCTTGGCCCGCTGGCTCTCGGCTTTTCCCAGGGAGGCCTGCAGACACGGCGGGGCTGAGGGTTGAGGTGTTTGGGCCGAACGCTTCAACAGCCCAGGCACTCCCCCCCACCCCCCACCCCAGCCTTCATGTCATCGATCTCCTTTGCACCTGGCAAAAGGCTGAAAGTCTCCAGGGCGGGAGCATCAATGCAAAGGATGCAAGCACTGCTGAGGTTCTGGCTTGTCTCGATCTCCGACTTCAAAGAGGACAACCTGCCGACTCCCGATTGTTTAGAGTCTAGGACGGCACCCACTCGGGCCCTTTGGGATCAAGAAGAGAAGATGGGAGCTCTCAGACAGTAAGGAGCAGGCTCGGCGCTGACCGCGAGCATCTTGGTCTTCAGCTTGTCTGCACGCGTGGCTTTGCTGGCCTGCATCGGCCCAGCAATCCCAGCATTGCTTTCTGCACCCCCCAAGGACACTCACTCAGCCCGGCCCATGCGATCGGCCTCCTTGCGGAAGCCCCTCTCATTAACGCGCAGCACTTTCTACGTATCACTCGACGCACCTCTCGATTTGCCTGTGTACTCTTTGCTTGTGGGGACGTGAGCATTTGCCGCCTGATCTTGAAGCCTGTGGCAACCTGCATTTCCATCGGAATGCCTTGGCATTGTTGGTGTTGGACAACTCCGTCTGACACCAACTGTCCCGCCGTGCATCCTCCGCTCACACATCGCAGGATCGAAGCCAGAATTGTGCAAAACATGAACAACAAACCCACACCTCTGCCCTTAGCTTCTGTTGGCTGCATGGGGCTGAATACAGCGTCAAAGCAAGTCCGGCAATGGACGCCAGTGGTTGCATATCCCCGCTCCTATCTCGATAATATGCACAGGGCAGCGACGTCCTGCGCCTGCTGCTCGTTCATCTTCGCGAGCATTTCGTGGATCAGCGCCTGCCAAGTGGTGCTGGCATGGACCTTAGACGCCTTCGGATACTGAGGCCGCCTCTGTTGCTTGGCCATGCTTCACGGGATCACAAACCTATAAGGCTGGCGTAGCTGCCGCACACACTGGCGCCAAATTCCGCTTTCGGTGCCTTTTTCAGTCCCGATTGTTCGGATTCGAAGCAGGCTCTCTGAGACGTTTCAGGTGACGCAAGTCATGAAGGTGGAGGTGCCTTCAAACCTTTGCAAGAAATTCTTCAGGCCTCCGGCGTTCGTCAACACGACCGAGTTGTCGAAACCGCGCGGCTTGAATGCTTGAATTCGAATCTCGACGCACATAGAGTCTTGAAATCCTGCACCCTGAATTACTGCAGGAACTCCTTCCTCCTCAACGACCCGTCCGAAAAATCCCACGAGCCTTGACTTTCTTGAAGACGTCTCTCCTTCCCACGGCCAGCAGCTGAGAGGCAAAGACGTGAGATGTGATACGAGATCTTCAGATCGACAGATCCTATGACTTACATAGGGGCCTTAATAATTACTTATTCTATATAATTATAGTATAAGGGGCCTCCAAAACAGAAACCGCAAGCAGAAACCTCCAGCATCTTAGGCACTTGACGCGGGCTCCTGCCGCCCTCCTGAGACTGGAGAAGCAATGCGGCCAGGCCAGGGCTGGCAGCCGACTCCAAGAGCCGGGCCTCAAGGCTTCACTTGGCTTCGCTTGGTTGCTTTATGCTTGGGGCCCCACTTTCGCATATAAAGGCATAAACTGAAGAAACACTCGACTCATCAACCAGACAGAGAAAAAAGCCAGCCGAAGCAGGTCTCCAGGGCTTCAGCCACTTTTCGCCTGCTCAGCTCTCGCGACCGATGCGAGCCCCAGGCCTGAGCACGAGCACGGCATTCGGAGCTTCAGAAGGCTTCGCATCCCGTTCGGCTTTCCCATTAACTCGGCGCCGGAATAGCTCCTGTGACTCTGCATTTTGAGAGCAAGAAGCGGCAGGGGCCTCCGAAGACAACTGCAAGAAGTTTGCGACGGTCTTCGCACTTTCCTCGACGGTAGCCTCTGCAGTTCATGTATGTCGCTTGCGATGAGCCCACCATAGACCATCCTGGAACTTCTTGACATTAGATGTAAATCGTCTTGACAGCATTGCGTTTGTCAGTAGCCATGACCTGTTGAGCCCAACCCTTGTTACACAAATTTGTGGAAGGGAACGAGACGCCCCCGCAGTATCTGTTTGCGTCAAGTCAGATCAGGAAGTACGGTCACAGCGATCTAATCTGTCCGCTAAATGATTTGCCCTAACCATCAAGATGGCTGCTACCAAGGCGCCTGAAAATTGGGCACGTATTTTGTTCTTGGGGCGATGGGCTTGCGAGTGTTTCCGTTTGCGCCGAGGCTGAGGGCTGTGAAGTCTGCTGAAAGGGAAGTCCTATGTGGGATTCTAGTTGGGAGGGGGTGTGGCCGAAGATAGGTCACTCTGCGCAACAGGCGCGCGCACACGCATGCCGAGGCAGATAGTCTACTCTAACAGTCCGAGGCAGCTGCACCGCTGCTGCTGCTCTTCGTCAGGATCGCAAGTGCCTTCGGATCACATTCTAGCGAAAATAGACATGGCCCGCCGTTGGCATACTCAAGGATGCATCACAACCTATCTGAGAATCCTGTTGTGTTGTTCCGTCTGCAAACTGACGACGCCGCGCCTCTGCGACCACCTCAGCCTCTGCATCTCGGGACTTCCCTCGTGTAGTGAAGTCCTCAGGCGCGACTTTGAGGCTCCATAATCAGAACCCGAACACCAGCCGAAGCTTTGGTGCTTTTCGTTCGGCAACTGCTACAGTAGTGACCACCCGGACATCCCAAGCACTTGCAGTAATCTTCGAAAGCGTCCTTGCTCTTATCCTTGAGGTCGACTTGCAGCTCTGCAAGCTGCTGTTTCGTGGAGGACAGGCGCCTGTCGACAGGAAAGCCCGCTTCTGTCGGCAAAAACCATAGATGCGCATGCACCTAGATTGTGAGTGCACGGAGATCGTCCATGTGTGTGTGTGTAAGTAAGTAAGTAAGTAAGTAAGTAAGTAAGTAAGTAAGTAAGTAAGTAAGTACGTACGTAGGGTTAAGGTTAAGGTTAAAGTTAAGGTTAAGGTTAAGGTTAAGGTTAAGGTTAAGGTTAAGGTTAAGGTTAAGGTTAAGGTTAAGGTTAAGGTTAAGGTAAAGGTAAAGGTAAGGGTAAGGGTAGGGTAAGGTAAGGTAAGGTAAGGTAGGAAGGTAAGAAGGTAAGAAGGTAAGAAGGTAAGAAGGTAAGAAGGTAAGAAGGTAAGAAGGCAAGAAGGTAAGAAGGTAAGAAGGTAAGGAGGTAAGGAGGTAAGGAGGTAAGGAGGTAAGGAGGTAAGGAGGTAAGGAGGTAAGGAGGTAAGGAGGTAAGGAGGTAAGGAGGTAAGGAGGTAAGTGAGTAAGTGAGTAAGTGAGTAAGTGAGTAAGTGAGTGAGTAAGTAAGTAAGTAAGTAAGTAAGTAAGTAGGCAAATAAAGAAGTAAAGAAGTAAGTAAAGAAGTAAGTAAAGAAGTAAGTAAGAAGAAGTAAGCAAAGAAGTGAGTAACGAAGTAAGTAAGTAAGTAAGTAAGTAAGCAAGCCAGCCAGCAAGCCAGCAAGCAAGCAAGCAAGCAAGGAAGGAAGAAAGGAAGGAAGCAAGGAAGGAAGTAAGGAAGGAAGTAAGGAAGTGAGTAAGTAATGAGTGAGTGAGTGAGTGAGTGAGTGAGTGAGTGAGTGAGTGAGTGAGAGTGAGTGAGTGAGTGAGTGGAGTG